CATAGTATCTGACACTCTGAACCGTATGGATGACTCTACGGCACGGATTCAAGACGTTGTGATGGTCAAGTTAGTTCACCTCTTCGTTGATCGTCACTGTCCGCTAAGAAAATAGTAAACGCTGATGCTCTTCCCAGCTATGTAGGAACCTACGTGTTCACTCGAAGTCTGCTGTCCACCTTTCCTGCGGACGGCGCAGGAGCCCGGCAGCGACGTCCGCATCGTGTCGGTAGGGTTCACGATTCAAACCCCTCGTGTGACACTGACCATACCTCAAGGTGAACACATAGGGCAACAAGCTTTGCCTCCAGAACGTCCGGTTCAGCAGCATGGAAGACCTGAACCGTGACTTTGCGAACTCGGCTCTCCCACAGTTCATGCTGTACAGTGCGTCGTCTGCGTATGTACTATCATTCGACCCGTTTCCTGATCGGTCTTGACTATAACATTCAGCAAGCTCATGCAGCTGATGTTCATCGAGGAACTGCAATGCCGTATGGATGAGCGCAACCTGTCCATCATATGCATAGCTACTTGCCTCGTGGCAGTCAACACCGATGCGCGTCACTCTTGTCACCCTTTCACGTCTTGCATCTGACCTGGGTCTGATGCCTTTCAGAGGGTGTACAAGCCTACGCGCATTCAGTCGGCCCCATTCTCTCCCATCTCTACGCCCTCATCACCAACCTCACATTCGCCACGCCCGCCAAAGGCGCGTACAGTACTGTGTTCGCAGCCGCGTCTCCGGTGCCGCGGGAGAATGCGGATGAGTACAAGGGCGCGTTTCTGAAGAATCCGGGGGTGAAGACGACGGTGAGCCCGGTGGCGGAGATTACTGCGAACTTGAGGGAGCTTTGGGTGACGACGGAGAGGATCTTGAAGGAGGTGGGAGTAGTGGTGCAGGACCCTGGACGCCGTGTGAGGTCGTGGGGGGAATGTGAGTAGAAATCATGCCTTCCTGTACACCGTACATGCTGACATGATTACCAAATGCGATCGCGATTCTGCAGTTCCGCGTCGCTTGGCTTTCACTTATGCAGTGTGCAGTGCATTCATTTGATCACAGATTATATATGTATACCGACAAAGGCTACACACGATCACTGGGGCACAACGTGGCATGCTCGCTGAACAAGCCTTCACCATATCCCAGATTACTTCCGAAGTTCGAAGACCATTGGTCTCCTCACTATCAGAAATTGACAGTGAACGGGATGGCACGAACGCGGCTTGTGGTGTGATCTACTGACATCAGTGTCTCAATTGCCAATCCCGCCCCGCTACTGCGGGCTCAGTCGGCTAACATGATAGGTACACGCGTTTCAAATGGCCATCGTAGATTTTCACATCGACTTTCGGGGTTCCAACTGCATACATAAGATGAGATTCTGATTTCAACCACCTCCTGCTAGCCAGTGACTGCGCAAGACGAAGACATCCCTTGCCCTTCGAACTGCTCAGGCGCTCAATCGCACTGCAGCGCCAACAATTGTACACAGTGCACACGACACGCAACACAAGTACCGATGGGTTCGTTCTTCTCGAAGTCGTTTGACCCTGCGACCGACATTCCGGACCTCAATGGCAAGGTCGCTGTAGTGACCGGGGGAAAGTAAGTACACGCTCTTATGACGTGCAAACATCGCCATCATCTATTGATCACGTCTTCTACGCTGCCGACACCTTCAGCGCGGGGATCGGCTTTGCCATTGTACAGCACCTCGCTAGACATGGCGCGAAGGTATACATGGGTGCGCGCAACGAGCAGCGCGCGATCGCCGCGCTCGAGCGCCTGCGCACCGAGGGGCTAGGCCCGGGGAATGGTGAGGTGATCTGGTTGAAGGTTGACCTTAGCGATCCTCGAGATACAAAGAGGGCGGCTGAGGAGTTGATGCGGAAGGAGAAGAGGCTGGATATTCTCAGTTGGTGCCAACGTCTGATTCTCGCTGGGGAGGTGCTGACGATGGGCTCAATCCCTCGCAGTCAACAATGCGGCTTTGTAGGCGTCTTTCGCATCAGCTCAGAGTCGCGTATGCTAGGCAGACTGACCTGTGGCGTACAGACTTCTGGTACCATACCAGAAGAGCCATCATGGTACGACGCGCTGTCCCTACCTTGCAATTTCTGACGCTGAGGCCTTGTACAGGTATCCAGGACGTGGTTATGGTGAAGTGAGTACTAGGAATTGACAACGTCATCAAGCAAGATTGAGTTGATGTTGTGGCATTGTCAGCTACGTCGGAACCTACATCTTCACTCGGGCGTTGCTGCCCCTCCTCAAGCGGACAGCCCAGGAACCCGGGAGCGACATCCGGATCGTCGCGGTACTATCGTCGGAGCACAGTGAGGTTGCGCCCGCGACGCTGACGGAATGTACGTATAGGTCAACTCGGACGCAAACGAGCAGTGTCCCCACGATGTCCGCTTCCGCGATCTGGACGACTTCAACAGAGAGTTCGCGGAGAAGTCCTTCCCTCAGTTCCTGCGCTATGGTGAGCGACGGGTTGTGGCATCGACCGAGAATCGACAGGCAAGCTGACGTTGCGCAGCTTTCAGCAAGCTGATGCAGTGGATGTTCATGAGAGAGCTCCAGCACAAGCTCGAAGAGGGGGTGCCCATACTCTGCCTTGGGGTAGATCCGGGACAGGTCAACACAGGTGCGGCGACCTTTCAGCTTCGTCTTCCCTTGTTCCGCTAATGACGAATTTCACGTCTAGAGGGCGTCCGAGCATACGCCAATTCGGTTGGACCCATCCTCTCGCCGATCTACACTCTCATCGCGAACCTCTTCTTCGCGCCACCGACGAAGGGCGCGTACGGAGCGGTGTTCGCAGCAGCGTCTCCGGTCCCCCGGGCACGCGAGAAGGAGTACAAGGGCGCGCTCCTGAAGAACTCGGGGGCCAAGACTTCTGCGAGCCCGTTAGCTGATAAGGCTGAGCTGAGGAGGGAACTGTGGGAGACTACGGAGAGGATCTTGAGGGACCTTCGGGTTGAGATTGAGACGGAGTGAGCTGAGGTAGGACAGACGGGACGCCGTGACTACGTGTATGTCTCGGACAGGGAGCTTACATGTGATTCATCAACCTGGGGCATACCGTTCGATGTCGGTGTGGTATCGTGTGTGGTATCGCAGCATCTCCGATTGCACCACTAATCAAGCTTCAAAGCACCATTTCACTGTTCCGGCAACTCCAACCCCAAGCTCTTCAAGAACCCGTCGGTCGTCTCCCACAGCTCCTTCCGCAACTCCTCACGTTCGGCGACGGGGTTCGACCTCGCGAGCTTCCCGGGAGGCTTCAGGTACGCGCCGCGATATGCGTCCGGCTGGGCTCGCGGGATCGGCGAGGCGGCAGAGAAGACGGGGCCGTATGCGCCCTTGATCGGCGAGATGAACGTGAGGTTGGCGATCATGCGGTAGAGCGGCGCGAGGATTGGGCCGACGGATTTGGCGTAGGCCCGCACGCCCTCTAAGCGCAGCGAGCGATGTTCGTCAGTAGGAGAGAGGGAGGATGTATGTGCGCTCGTACCGGTGTTGACTTCGCCAGGGTCGACGGCGATGAGAAGGATGGGTACGCCCTGTTCGTCGAGCCTGCGCTGCAGCTCGCGGATGAAGAGGAGCTGCATGATCTTTGTGTAGGCTGCGAGCCGTGCGGTCTCTCGTCAGGTAGCCGCGGTCAGGAGCGCGACGAATACGTACAGTATCGAAGCAGCTTGGGGAAGGAGGTGTTCTCGAAATCCCTGTTGAGGTCATCTAGGTCGCGGAAGCGGACATCACTCGGACAGTGGTAATGTCTTGCGGAATTGAGCTATCGTTCTCCGTCAGAGGCACTTACGCAAGCGGGGGGAGAACGAACTCACGCAGACTATCCGGACGTCGCTGTCGGGCTCTTTCGCGGTCCTCTTGAGGATGGGTAGGAGCGACCGTGTGAACACACAAGTGCCTATGTAGCTGCACGACCCGGTGAGTACACGCGTTTGCATGACGCTTATGAGTGCGCGCACTTCACCATGACTATGTCTTGCAGGTCTTCGCACCAATGGTCAGCACCGGAGTTCTGGTCATGAAAGACGGGCCGCACTCACTATCACGGCTCTTGGTATAAGGAACTAGCAGCCTACAGGATATACAGTCGGGAGTGAACATAGAAGCTATGGGCGACTTCAACGTACATCGCAGCGTTATTGACTGATGGCAGCAGTCAGCACTTTGACGCACGGCGAGCGTAGCAAGTCACATGTGCTCACTCAAGACATCGAGCCGGATTTCCTTCTTCATGAACTCTTCTGCAGCTTGTTTGACATTCCGTGGATCGCTGAGGTCCAGGTGTAACCAGTGGATTTCGCCATTCCCAGGACCAAGCCCTTCGGCATGCAGGCGTTCCATGGCTGCCTTGGCCTTCTGCTCGTTACGCGCAGCCATGTATACCTTCGCGCCATGCCTAGCTAGGTGCTTGATTGTTGCAAAGCCAATGCCAGCGCTACCAAACGGAGTCTGCTATCAGCGCGCCAAAGTTGAAAGGGATGAAGATGATACCTACTTTCCTCCGGTCACGGTAACGACCTTGCCTGTGAGGTCGGGTATATCCTTCTCGGGGTCGAACCCTTTAGAGAGTAAGGCACCCATGATCCCCAACGAAGACTTCGAGTTGCTACGCACGCCAGGAAGTCAGGACTAAGTACGAGCCGGAGGAGCTGCCCTTGTTCGAGGATTGGGAACAACGACTGGTGTGGTCTTGTCTGCTCGACAAGCCGTCGAACGATGCAACGTGTCGACCCATCGCTTGGAGTTCAGCTGCTGAATCGACCGACCCGCCGGTATGTCCATCAAAGGCGTTCCCGTTCCGCATGGATTACAGTACGGTTAGACGAACCAGAACGACGCTCAACTTCCCGGCGGTCACTACCGCAGAAGGTAACCACGATAAGGCGAGGCACTCAGCTGCTGAGCGCTGAGCCTCGGAGAAGGCATTCATAGTCTGTTGAGAACGAATAACATGTAAGCCCCCGTTGTCTAATGGCTATGACGTCAGACTTCTAAAACGTGTGGGTCACGTGATCTGGAGGCTGCGGGTTCGAGTCCCGCCGGGGGTAGTTGGTTCACTTTTTGGCCTTCCCCTGCGATGGTCCAGATGTTGGGATAATTCATACGTCTGCTTCAAAATTTCTTGCTACCACGAGGATGGCCGCCGTGAAATGCGAGAATGCTCAAAATGTATTGTATGTTGTGGATCCTCAGTGAGCGTGCGAGCGCTCTCCGAGTGCCAGCTGTTCTTGCGCAAGTCCTCCAATACTGTACCATTGACTGGCACGACTATTCAATGCTCTACATTTTCACCTACGCCGCGCAGTGCAGCCTTACGATGCTTCTGTCGGGTCAGAAGTTGTCGTCGACCTCCAAGTGCTTGATTCAGGTGTACTACAGGGACGATGAACTGCATCATAATTTTTGGCTGGCGGCAGCATTGCCACCATGCCTACTTACATCCGTATCGTGAGGTATGTCTGATTCAGCCTCTAGGGATACTGTCGCTGAACAGGAATCCGACATCATGTAGACGTTCTTCCCCATGAAAGAAGTCATTCAAACATCTCAGAAGCTGGTGCAGTCGCGCTAACGCACGGCACCCATTCCACCACGAGGCTGCTCTGTCCACCATTTACTAGGGCCCAGGCAGCGGTCAATATAAAGCCGTTGGTAACGGCAGCCTGCACAAAGAGCTGTCACAGTACACCAGACTCCGCTGCCCGTGACAGCGGTCGCCAATTGTGCGTGGCTGGAGAGGCTAAGCGGGAGGACCATGCTTTGATCGCTATATTGAGGACATGCCGTCCCCTGCGCGGAGGAGGGCCCCGGACTCCGGTATTAGCAGAACAAAGAAGTTTGTATCATCAGCCATGGCTCATGCCTCATGCTGACAATGCTTGACTGCCTTAGCCACAGCGCCTGCGCAATGATGGCGACCGGCGTGTTTATGGCTAAATCGCTATCTCCCCGGAACGCTTTAATAGGCCGGCACCTGCGCTCCAAGCGTTCATCCTCCTCTCTCTCCTGTCTATCCTCCCAAGCCCACCGTCTCGCACTTTGGCATGTCGGCGTTTGCTGCGCAGTTGGCGTTCCATGACTTCGGTGATGTCCAACGGTGGAAGTAAGTTTCGGGCCACGATGTGGTTCGGCCTCAGTGACTCATTGAACTTCAGTGCGGACCAAGAGGAATCTATTACTACAGTCATGCTCCAGGAATTCATCGACGCGGATCAGATCGCTATAACCTACGGCGGCAGCTTTAGAGACTACTTGCCCAACGAGGCAGAGCGGTAAGCCACCTCGTGCCCATTACCGGTTCATACCTAGCTCACCCCGGCACCAGCACTCCTCCGGAAGAGATCGAACGTCGCAGGCGAGAGCAAGAAGAATGGGTTCGTTTAGACGGCTTTTCTTGCTATCCCACTGTTGCCGGTGAGGACACCGACGACAACGAAAGCGGCGATGACTGCCCCGGCCTGACCACCGACGACGGCGACGATATGACCGACACTGCGTCCGAGTCGGGGTACTCCTCGAGCTCGGCGTTCGGCGATGACGAATGGGAGGAAGCGGACGAATGGGACCAGCAGTGGGTGTTGGACGACCCTGAGGAGTATGCGCAGCTCGCTGGACGAGACCTTGAGGAAGACTTCTACTCCCTCGATGTGGCGTTCTAACGGTCAGACCTCGCTGCATCTATGTTGTGGGACGCTTCGCCCGCGACAGTGTTTTCCTACCGTTGCCCATGCATGCACCCTCGTCTTCTTTGGTCGCTTTGTGTCCTCGCATTGTCTATGCTCTGCTCATCCTTGTGGCTCTGTGTTTCGCTTTATAACATATGAATATGTACGGCTCCGTTCGCGACTTGGTCCGTGTGACCCCATACAAGCAGCATACCCCTTGTACTTGCGATAAATAAACATCCGTAGTGACCCTTCCATGCGACTCTAAGTTGTAAACTTGTACAAGCATCTACGATTATCAACTCTAAACTGTAAGTGTACGCCCGTCTACTCCTCATCCTCCCAAACGACCACTGTAGGCACAGCCTCTGCCCTACTCGCTCTCCGCCGCTGCCGCTTGAGGTCACGCCATCCAGCATAGATGCCTAGCACGAGGGCGATGCAGCAAGCGACAATAGTCATCTTGATGCTATCGACGTAGCATTCACGCCCTTGAAGGCAGTGATGCGAGCTTGGCAGGCCCGCGCGGGTGCGTATCCCAGAGAAGGCGCTGACAACGCTTGAGCGTACGCCGGTGGACGACGGGGATGAGGACGCGGAGGAGGTAGTGGGGATGAGCGAGCTGGCGATGGAGGAAAGTGCTGCAATAGTGGACGAGGTCGCTGCGGGCGAGGCATCGTCGCCAGTGTCGTGCGCATCGACGTTGCGCCCGAAGGCGATCGAGAAGATGTTCCCGCCCAGCATGGGCGAAAGCGAGACAAAGCCCCAGTTCTCGGAGAAGTGTGCTACGGTGGGCAATGTGAGGGGCTATCCAGATCATCCATACATAACTCGGACGATACTCACGTAGCCCAAACCACTCAATGACAAGTGTGGGGAAGAGTCCGAACAGACCACCGTACGAAACTCCGAGGAGCGCACTCGCCTTCCACAGATTGCCCACGCTATCGACAGAGTAACACATAGCCTGGGATATGACGAACATAATCGCGACAAGGACGATGCAGAAGGACCGTGGAAGCCCGAGCTTGCCCTTCGTGAAGTCTGCAATTATGCCTGCACCACCATGGTGAGCGTCCAGGCGAATACGGCAGAGGGACATCGGCACCGACCTATGAGGATACGGCCGAGGCAGTTCATGACGCTCACAGTGGATACTTGCGTGGCTTGCCATTGCGCGGCCTTCACCTCGTCATAGTCAGGGTTGTTATCAGCGAACAGTGCTTGCGATATCGCGCCAACGTTGTTTATATCTGCTTTCCGTCAGCTGCGCACCAAATACCGAGCGGCAAGGGACTTACACATAATTCCAGTGCCGCTGACTGAGATGTCCAGGATGATGGTTCAGTTAATTGTTCTACGCAAGGGCAACTTGGAGATCCTTACGTAGAGAACAGATGGTAAAGAGAATCCAGAAGTCTGCCGTCTTGAAGAGGCGCTTCCCATGGATATTTGGCTGACCATCAATGGTTTTATCCATGTTGCTCTTGATACTCCGTCTCGACAGCGAACGCGCACTGACAGAGCGATGACGGGCGAACCCCGCCCGCGTAGGGCTGAGTGCGAGCGAGTCAACTTGTCCGGGTACCACATAGTCTGATGTTGCCTGAGCATGCGTAGATACCAGCGGCTCCTCTTCTTCTAGCTCTATTGCGGGCTCGTGGAGCTCGTCCTCGTCTTCGTCAGCGTCACGAGCGAGAAGATGCGTATGGCTATTGTTATCGTTCGAGTATGTCGTGGGGGAATTGGACCCTAGCCCTTCGCCAACACCATAGTCAGCGGGACTGCCAGGAGTGCCATCCTCTAGTCGCCCTGTCGGATCGGTATGTGGGGGAGGGATGGGTCGGACGAACAGAAATCCGAGAGTCATAGGCAAAGCTGTCCCAATAGCGAGGACTAGCAAGAATGAACCGGTATTGCCCGGAAAGAATGTATGTGCCATGGTCGAGAACAAGAACGCCGATAGACCAAAGCCGGAGATGACAATTCCGTTCGCAGTCGCACGCTGTAGCCAGGTTAACAGACGCCTACCACGGATATCCTGGTGACGAGAACGTACAGTCTTATCGGGGAAGCTCTTCGCTGTGGCATTCATAGACCCGACCAACCCGCCATTCCCACCAATGCCGGTAAGGAACCCGCACAAGACGAGAAGGCAAAACGGGAGTAAACCCAACTCAGTCGTACCGTCAGGCAAACCGTTGAGGAAGAAATGCCTGATGCCAAGGTAGCCAATGAGGAGCGAGAAGAACGCCATTACCATGAGCATTCGAGGTCCTCGTCTATCGACGATGCCTCCCCATATTGGTGCAGTACCGTAGACACCGACTATACATGACATGTCAGGGCACGATGAAGATGGGGAAAAGAGATGCAGACATACTATTTCCTGACAACCCAATGATATTGATCTGGGTATGTGTGAGCTTTAGACGCTCTCCGAGCTGAGGCCCGTATGCTATTGCGAAGGTCAATCAGCGACTACTCTGTCTCATTTTAGGTGCTCGTATAATGGCAAAACTGTACAGTGAGTGATTGACGCTCCTCACATCCCATAAACGCATGGGCTGCAAGCGGGGCCCAGGAGCGCCGAGGGCGAACTTGGATACACATCGCGTCGTCGTGAGCACAGCAATGGCGGGACCGCGGAACTGCAGTAACTCTTCCAGCACTACTGGACAGTGTCGTGCAACGTGTGTCCAGGCTTAGCGTGACTCGCATGAGCTCGCAGCTACAGCATGCAACAGGCTCAAATGTATGTCCAGATGCGTGCAACCAGAGACGGTCGACATGCATGACCAGGTCGGAGGCCAAGCGCAAGCGTCGGATACGACCGCAATATTCAACTTGTTTCGACATCGAAATGCGCGTCATAGCAAAAGGCCTGAAGGATGTGGCACTTCGGGGGGCAGACGTAGTCCTCGCTCCGTACTGGAACTCTGTTGCGATAAGCAGTCCGAACGTACCTGAGAAGACCTAAACAGTGACCCATATCAGAAGTCACGCATTTGACGCTATGGTCAAGCTACGCACATAGTTTGTTCCAGACGCAAGCGCAACCAGAATGGAAGTCAAGAAGCTTGAGATCCGCGCGAAGCTGAAGAGCGGCGGTGGATGATTGGCGTGTGTAGAATGTGGATGCATGGTAAGCCGGCAGAATCAGAGTGGATGTAACGGGTGTGAGGCTTGTTTCCGGCGAAGGTTATTGCAAGCTCATGGATAAGCAAAGAGCGTTGAGACGAGTGCGTCGACAAACACAGAAGCTGAGAGGTAGATATGATATGGTGGTAAGAGGGAACGCGGGGAGCGGAGGGGACACCGCCTGATATGAGATGTTCCCGTCCGCGGCCCCCGCATTCGGTCCGCCACATCGCCAACACCAC